CATAGCTGTACACCTCGTTAATAATCAGTATTCTAGTCCATAGCTGTACACTTTGCTAAGAGTCAGTATTCTAGTCCATAGTTGTACACTTCGTTAAGAATCAGTATTCTAGTCCATAGATGTACAATTTCGTTAGGAATCAGTATTCTAGTCCATAGCTGTACTCTTCGTTAGGAATCAGTATTCTAGTCCATAGCTATACACTTCGTTAGGAATCAGTGTTCTAGTCCATAGCTGTACAGTTCGTTAAGAATCAGTATTCTAGTTCATAGCTGTACACTTTGTTCAGAATCATTTTTTTAGTCCATAGCTGTACACTTCGTTAAGATTCATTATTTTAGTCCATAGCTGTACACTTCGTTAAGATTCATTATTTTAGTCCATAGCTGTACACTTCGTTAAGAATCAGTGTTCTAGTTCATAGCTGTACACTTTGTTCAGAATCATTTTTTTAGTCCATAGCTGTACACTTCGTTAAGATTCATTATTTTAGTCCATAGCTGTACACTTCGTTAAGAATCATTGTTCTAGTTCATAGCTGTACACTTTGTTCAGAATCATTTTTTTAGTCCATAGCTGTACACTTCGTTAAGATTCAGTATTCTAGTTCAAAGCTGTACACTTCGTTAAGAATCAGTGTTCTAGTTCATAGCTGTACACTTTGTTCAGAATCAGTTTTTTAGTCCATAGCTGTACACTTCGCTAAGAATCAGTATTTTAGTCCATAGCTGTACACGTCGTTAAGAATCAGTTTTCTAGTCTAAAGCTGTACACTTCGTTAAGAATCTGTATTCTAGTCCATAGCTGTACACTTCGTTCAGAATCAGTTTTTTAGTCCATAGCTGTACACTTCGTTAAGATTCATTATTCTAGTCCATAGCTGTACACTTCGTTAAGAATCAGTATTCTAGTTCATAGCTGTACAATGCGATAAGAATCAGTATTCTAGTCCATAGCTGTACACGTCGTAAAGAATCAGTATTCTAGTCCATAGTTGTACACTTCGTTAAGAATCAGTGTTCTAGTTCATAGCTGTACACTTCGTTAAGAATCTGTATTCTAGTCCTTAGCTGTACACGTCGTTAAGAATCAGTATTCCAGTCCATAGCTGTACACTTCGTTTAGATTCAGTATTCTAGTTCACAGCTGTACACTTTGTTCAGAATCGGTTTTTTAGTCCATAGCTGTACACTTTGCTAAGAGTCAGTATTCTAGCCCATAGCTGTACACGTCGTTAAGAATCAGTATTCTAGACCATAGCTGTACACTTCGTTAAGGTTCAGTATTCTAGTTCAAAGCTGTACACTTTGTTCAGAATCGGTTTTTTAGTCCATAGCTGTACACATCGCTAAGAATCAGTATTCTAGTACATAGCTGTACACGTCGTTAAGAATCAGTATTCTAGTCCGTAGCTGTACACTTCAGTATTCTAGTTAACAATTATGCGTATCTGAACGAGCACATATTAAGAATCAGTATTCTAGTCCAAAGCTGAACACTTCGTTAAGAATCAGTATTCCAGTCCATAGCTGTACACGTCGTTAAGTATCAGTATTCGAGTCCATAGCTGTACACTTCGTTAGGAATCAGTGTTCTAGTCCATAGCTGTACACGTCGTTAAGTATCAGTATTCTAGTCCATAGCTGTACACCTCGTTATGAATCAGTATTCTAGTCCATAGCTGCACACTTCGATAGGAAACAGTGTTCTAGTCCATAGCTGTACATGTCGTAAAGAATCAGTATTCTAGTCCATAGTTGTACACTTCGTTAAGAATCAGTGTTCTAGTTCATAGCTGTACACTTCGATAAGAATCAGTATTTTAGTCCATAGCTGAACACTTCGTTAAGAATCAGTATTTTAGTCCATAGCTGTACACTTCGCTAAAAATAAGTATTCTAGTCCGTAGCTGTACACGTCGTTAAGAATCAGTTTTCTAGTCTAAAGCTGTACACTTCCTTAAGAATCAGTATTCTAGTTCATAGCTGTACACTTCGTTAAGAATCAATATTCTAGTTCATAGCTGTACACTTTGTTCAGAGTCAGTTTTTTAGTCCATAGCTGTCCACTTCGCTAAGAATCAGTATTCTAGTACATAGCTGTACACGTCGTTAAGAATCAGTTTTCTAGTCTAAATCTGTACACTTCGTTAAGAATCAGAATTCTAGTCCATAGATGAACACTTCGATAAGAATCAGTGTTCTAGTCCATAGCTGTCAACTTTGTTAAGAATCAGAATTCTAGTCCATAGATGAACACTTCGATAAGAATCAGTGTTCTAGTCCATAGCTGTACACGTCGTTAAGAATCAGTTTTCTAGTCTAAAGCTGTACACTTCCTTAAGAATCAGTATTCTAGTTCATAGCTGTACAATGCGATAAGAATCAGTATTCTAGTCAATAGCTGTACACTTTGCTAAGAGTCAGTATACTAGCCCATAGCTGTACACGTCGTTAAGAATCAGTTTTCTAGTCTAAAGCTGTACACTTCGTTAAGAATCAGAATTCTAGTCCATAGATGAACACTTCGATAAGAATCAGTGTTCTAGTCCATAGCTGTCAACTTTGTTAAGAATCAGAATTCTAGTCCATAGATGAACACTTCGATAAGAATCAGTGTTCTAGTCCATAGCTGTACATGTCGTAAAGAATCAGTATTCTAGTCCATAGTTGTACACTTCGTTAAGAATCAGTATTCTTCTCTAAAGCTGTACACTTCGTTAAGAATCTGTATTCTAGTCCATAGCTGTACACCTCGTTATGAATCAGTATTCTAGTCCATAGCTGCACACTTCGATAGGAAACAGTGTTCTAGTCCATAGCTGTACACGTCGTAAAGAATCAGTATTCTAGTCCATAGTTGTACACTTCGTTAAGAATCAGTATTCTAGTCCAGAGCTGTACACTTCGTTAAGAATCTGTATTCTAGTCCATAGCTGTACATGTCGTAAAGAATCAGTATTCTAGTCCATAGTTGTACACTTCGTTAAGAATCAGTATTCCAGTCCATAGCTGTACACTTCGTTCAGAATCAGTGTTCTAGTCCATAGCTGTACACGTCGTAAAGAATCAGTATTCTAGTCCATAGCTGTACATGTCGTAAAGAATCAGTATTCTAGTCCATAGTTGTACACTTCGTTAAGAATCAGTATTTTAGTCCATAGCTGAACACTTCGTTAAGAATCAGTATTTTAGTCCATAGCTGAACACTTCGTTAAGAATCAGTGTTCTAGTCCATAGCTGTACATGTCGTAAAGAATCAGTATTCTAGTCCATAGTTGTACACTTCGTTAAGAATCAGTATTTTAGTCCATAGCTGTACACTTGGTTAAGAATCAGTATTCTAGTTCATAGCTGTACACTTCGTTAAGAATCAATATTCTAGTTCATAGCTGTACACTTCGATAAGAATTAGTATTTTAGTCCATAGCTGTACACTTCGTTCAGAATCAGTGTTCTAGTCCATAGCTGTCAACTTTGTTAAGAATCAGTATTCTAGTTCATAGCTGTAAACTTCGATAAGAATCAGTATTCTAGTCAATAGCTGTACACTTTGCTAAGAGTCAGTATTCTAGTCCATAGCTTTACACGTCGTTAAGAATCAGTATTCCAGTCCATAGCTGTACACTTCGTTTAGATTCAGTATTCTAGTTCACAGCTGTACCCTTTGTTCAGAATCAGTTTTTTAGTCCATAGATGTACACTTCGCTAAGAATCAGTGTTCTAGTTCATAGCTGTACACTTTGTTCAGAATGAGTTTTTTAGTCCATAGCTGTACACATCGCTAAGAATCAGTATTCTAGTACATAGCTGTACACGTCGTTAAGAATCAGTTTTCTAGTCTAAAGCTGTACACTTCGTTAAGAATCAGTATTTTAGTCCATAGCTGAACACTTCGCTAAGAATCAGTATTCCAGTCCATAGCTGTACACGTCGTTAAGTATCAGTATTCGAGTCCATAGCTGTACACTTCGTTTAGATTCAGTATTCTAGTTCACAGCTGTACACTTTGTTCAGAATCGGTTTTTTAGTCCATAGCTGTACACTTGGTTAAGAATCAGTATTCTAGTTCATATCTGTACACTTCGATAAGAATCAGTATTATAGTCCATAGCTGTGCACTTTGGTAAGAGTCAGTATTCTAGCCCATAGCTGTATACGTCGTTAAGAATCAGTATTCTAGACCATAGCTGTACACTTCGTTAAGGTTCAGTATTCTAGTTCAAAGCTGTACACTTTGTTCAGAATCGGTTTTTTAGTCCATAGCTGTACACTTCGATAAGAATCAGTGTTCTAGTCCATAGCTGTCAACTTTGTTAAGAATCAGTATTCTAGTCCATAGCTGTACACTTCGTTAAGAATCAGAATTCTAGTCCATAGCTGTACACTTCGATAAGAATCAGTGTTCTAGTCCATAGCTGTCAACTTTGTTAAGAATCAGTATTCTAGTCCATAGCTGTACACTTTGTTAAGAATCAGTATTCTAGTCCGTAGCTGTACACTTCAGTATTCTAGTTAACAATTATGCGTATCTGAACGAGCACATATGTCTAGTTGCCATTGACACAAACAATGTTGAGTGGAAGTACTCATACGTTACAATCAACGTTAATGGTTTAAGTCAACAATCATACAAACAATTTGGAGGTAGTATTTAAGGTAACGAAGTTAACTACCACGTTAGTAATGCTATTATTAACCGTATAGGGCGTTATGTGTAAACTATCCAGCCCTATATATTTAAATATACTTTTGTATTCCTACAAATATACGCATCGCTATGCATACAAATGTGAACGTTTGTCTCAATTTGAAATATTTTGAAATATCAGTTAAAAAGATTCTCATCGCACCCTATTATAAAGAAGACAGCACCCTTGTTGTATTCATATTAAAGGTAGAGCTATTGATGAAAGAATCATCTGCAACATTTAAACCCTCAAGTTATAATTGCGACATTGGTCTTTATCCATCTTTGCAGATATTTGCAGAAATCCATTAATGATAGCACAAGGTCACGTGACATCCGTATCAACATCCAGTGATTATGGATCTATCGACCCTAAGAACGTGTACGACGCCTCCAGAGCACTACTGAACACTACAGAACAAACGTTGACCAACAAAACCGTCCTGAATGGCGCCTGGGTGGCCGCCACTAACGACAGAAACCAGTTTATACAGGTAAACATACAAGACAGCAAAACACTCGAAGACAAAATCAGAATGCAATGTCGACACGCGTAAACAACAACAACAACAACAATAACAACAACAAAACAACAAGAGGATTGGAGGAAACAACAAAAACTAGCAAAAGCCTCGACATGAAAACCTGAAGCAAAATCTGAGATTCGAAACGATGCTTGCATTGCATGATGCTTTCAAATGTATGTTTGTTCATTCACAAAATTCATTGTGAAAAAGTTAGATATATCATACAGTCTTTAAAACAGCTGCTGTCAGACATAATAACCTGGTTACGCGAATCTTTCTTTCTTATCTAAAATATGCTTAACATTTCGTTTCGTATAAGGATTGACAACGTAGATTGATCCGGGATTTGAGACACAGACGATTGATGTTATACGAACTAGTCATACACCTACGAGCCTACAGTACGAACAAACACTCCTGTGTATCGAACACTTATATTCCTAAAAAAACATAATATATTACGCTTTATAATCCACAAAAATATGAAAATTTTATCAGTTCTCCCAACGTTCCAAATTTTAGAGTGACTATAGTAAAGTGTTAGCATACAGGTACAATGTACCTCGTGGATCTTAATAATGTTGAATATTCAACCGATATTATTCTCACAGCTTTTCCAAATATTCAAATTTCATGCAATAAATAATACCGATGTACAAAAAAAACGGCAATATCAAACTTTCGTTCATGATACATGCTGAGTTATATTTTCTTTTTTATTATTTACTAAAAAAACCTGACTAAATTTGACACTTTGTTCGAATTCGAAATAGGGCATTGCAGCTTAATAATGGATGTGTTACGTTATTATTTTAGTATGGTGAAACATCTGTATGATAAGACGTTCAATATTCCAGGTGAACTTCAGTGTGCCCCACCTAATAAGGGGCGTGACGACCCAGGGAAGGAACGGCTGTTGTAAGGACTGGGTTACACAGTACGCCGTCCACTACAGCTACGACTGTCAGCACTGGGTGGCTGTGGGCGGGGCTAACGAAACGGTAGGTGTAGGCGGTGTGAACGAAATGGTGTGTGTGGACAGGACAAAGGCATTGGAGTCATGTGCGAGTTGAAATAGATGGTATACATAGGCGGGGCTAGCGAAACGATAGGTGTAGGCTATGTGCACGAAATGGTGCATGTGGACAGGACAAAGAAAACATGGACAAGGGCGGGTTAAAATAGGTGGTATAAATAGGCGGGGCTAGCGAAACGATAAGAGTAGGCTGTATGAACGAAATTATGTATGTGGACAGGACAAAGGCATTGGCGTCATGGGCGGGTTGACATGGATGGTAAAAGTAGACGGTCAAAATTCAGACGTAGTTGTGATTATGGAGAATGATGAAATAGTAGGAATGGTCTAATATACACTGCTTACCTATTGTTGAGGACGGAGTGAACTATTTGTTTGTTTTAGCGGGAAAAATACGATAAGTAAGGTCAGTCAAAGGACCACATCTTATAGATTTTGGTCAATTAAAGGGGCCAGATGTTTAGATCTAGGTCATTCATAAGACCTTTTTTTTTTATTAAGGTCAGTGAAAAGTACCCCGATTTTTAAATTAAGGTAAGATATTCCGGTTTTTAGATTTAGGTTAGTCATAGGAAAAACATGTGCGTACAATGTAGATATATTGCAGGTATCGTAGATTATATGAAACTCTATTTGTCTTGACGTTATTTAAAAAAAATCGTATTAAGAATTCATAATCCTGTAACACCTTACTATACGTTACTAGCTGTTTACCGGGAACAGTGACCAGGACACACCCGTCACCAATGATCTTGGCTGTCCTCTCTGGGCCCGATGTGTGCGCATCTACCCAAGACAATGGCACAAAAATGTCGCCATGCGCATCGACCTTCTAGGCTGTCCAATCAAACAGCTTCCAGGTATTCCTATCCTTATTTCTATCAACTGTTTTAGAATAATGCACATTTGTAGTGTTTTCTTTTCTTTTGATGTCCTGTTTAATTCAAACTTAATTGTCCTAGGCTATATTCCGATTACCATGGCTTCCTTTTCGTAAATGTTCAAACGGATATCACCGGGGAGAACAAACGAACATGGATCAACAAGTACGATATATTCCAAAGAATTCGTGATGGCAAAAACATGTTTCCATATTTGTCATCAACCTGAATATATCCAAATCTTGAGCGTAAAGTATAGATTAGTTTGTTCGTCATAATTGACAGTTATTACGGAAAAGGTAAACTTGAAGCAAGCCCAAGATAAATACATGTAATTCCGTGACCTGAATTTGTCATGCAATCTTATTGTTCATTTTAAGTCACAAATAGGTTTATGTGAACGTTAAATATAGACATAACAATACATACCATTTCGTAAAAATGATAAGCAGATTATAAGTGAGATGTTTACAAAATTGAATACACATAACCGGTATATAGAATATAACGGTTGTCAACAGTTACGGTTACTTAATGTTATGCTATATAATACGGTTAAAATAGAAACTTAATACAGATGTATATTATACCGACAATCATGTGATGGTAGCCCAACTGCTTTATTGAAAAATATGAATCAACACTGTCTGTCTGTTATGTTTATAAATTAAACTTGTTTAGCGCCGACGACTTTACCAACACCAACAAGTACCCAGCCATCGACAGCTGCCCCCACAGGGGCGCCCGTGACGTCAGCTAACACCGCCACCTATCTGACCCTGTCAACTCACATGACCCCTCCACCCAGGACACCAGCCGCCTTCTACAACACCAAGGATCCTATTGACTGCAAATTCTCTCTCAGTACCTTCAACTGTTCAATACCCATAGTGCACCAGCACTGTCCTCTCTCTTGTGGTAAGAAAAGGAAATATTTGTTTTATGAACTGAACCTAGAACATGTTAAGCATTATTGTGGAAGGAACGCAGCTGATCGTCGTTAAGCCAGCCACTTTCTTTATCACGAGACCGCTAAATGCATTTAATTCGTGCTAGGGTTCATGAAATATTTTCCTGTTTTGACGTCTCTTTGGATCTGCTGTTATCTTCACTCATTTGAGTTTCTGTTTTAGTACTTTTAAATTGACGCAATGGTAGATTTGTCCATGCGAATTAAGGCTGTGATATTCGTTGCAATTGTTTTGACGCTGGTTGAGTTTTTTTGTTAATATAGCAAGAAATATTTCAATTGATATGTATATATATATATTTATGATTTGACCCCCAAATAATGTTCAGGAACATATCACTGACACTATTCTTATTCACTAAGCTATACAATGGGGAACTCACAAAAAAAGATGACCTGGCACCAAAAGATTATATTTTACTTTTAGGGTTAAAATCTTAGTATTGAAGCATACGCAATCTTATTGTATCTAATTCTACAATACAAAGCCATAATTTTATAACATTTCAAACAAAACCAATTTCACCATAAAACATTACACTTACCAGCAGGTATAATAAAATGAACCTATGATTTTTATTTCCTAATGCTACAATGTATATAGTTGTTTCGATGTCGATTTGATTCATTTTGAATTTATTGTATTTGCATTCGTTAGCTGGGCGATTTTCAACGACACCTGTTGTCACAACCACAATGTCTTCAACAACGTCGGGCATGTCTTCAACAACGTCCGGTATGTCTTCAACAACATCTGGTTTGTCTTCAACAACATCTGGTTTGTCTTCAACAACATCTGGTTCGTCTTCAACAACGTCTGGTACGTCATCAACAACATCTGGTATGTCTTCTACAACGGCTGGTATGTCTTCAACAACATCTGGTATGTCTCCAACAACATCTGGTTTGTCTTCAACAACATCTGGTATTCCTTCAACAACATCTGGTTTGTCTTCAACAACATCTGGTATGTCTTCAACAACATCTGGTACGTCTTCAACAACATCTGGTTTGTCTTCTACAACATCTGGTATATCTTCCACAACGGCTGGGATATCTTCAACAACATCTGGGATTTCTTCAACAACATCTGGTATGTTTTCTACAACGGCTGGTATATCTTCAAAAACATCTGGTATATCTTCAAAAACGGCTGGTATGTCTTCAACAAAATCTGGTATGTCTTCAACAATGGCTGGTATATCTTCAACAACAGCTGGTATGTCTTCTACAACGACTGGTATGTCTTCAACACCGGCTGGTAAGTCTTCAACAACATCTGGGTTGGCTTCAACAACGTCGGGTATATCTTAAACAACATCTGGTATATCTTCAACAACGTCTGGGATGTCTTCAACAACATCTGTTATGTCTTCTACAACGGCTGGTATATCTTCAACAACATCTGGGATATCTTCAACAACGTCTGGTACGTCATCAACAACATCTGGTTTTTCTTCAACAACGGCTGGGAATTTTTCCACAACGGCTGGGATGGCTTCAACAACATCTGGTTTTTCTTCAACAACGGCTGGGACGCCATCAACAACATCTGGTTTGGCTTCAACAACATCTGGTGTGTCTTCAACAACATCTGGCATATCTTCAACGACGTCTGGAATGTCTTCAACAACAACTGGTTTGTCTTCAACAACGGCTGGGGCGTCATCAACAAAATCTGGTTTGTCTTCAACACCGGCTGGTACGTCATCAGCAACATCTGGTTTGTCTTCTACAGCATCTGGTATATCTTCAACAACGGCTTGTATGTCTTCAACAACGGCTGGGACGGCATCAACGACATCTGGTTTGTCTTCAACAAAATCTGGTATGTCTTCAACATCATCTGGTACGTCTTCAACAAAATCTGGTATGTCTTCTACAACGGCTTCTATATCTTCAACAACATCTGGTTCGTCTTCAACAACGTCTGGTATATCTCAAACAACGTCTGGTATGTCTCCAACAACATCTGGTTTGTCTTCAAAAACATCTGGTTTGTCTTCAAAAACGGCTGGGACGTCATCAAAAACATCTGGTTTGTCTTCAACACCATCTGGTATGTCTTCTACAACGTCTGGTATGTCTTCAACAACATCTGGTTTGTCTTCAACAACATCTGGTTTGTCTTCAACAACGTCGGGTATATCTTCAACAACATCTGGTATATCTTCAACAACGTCTGGAATGTCTTCAACAACATCTGGTTCGTCTTCAACAACATCTGGTATATCTTCAACAACGTCTGGTATGTCTTCAAAAACATCTGGTATTCCTTCAACAACGCCCGGTTTATTCTCAATCCCGTCAGCTTTGTCTTCAGGAATACCATCATCAACAATAACAACATCAGGGCAAATACATTATGGAAGAACAACACCACCGATAGCTGTTCTGAGTAACCCAACATCAACATCTTCAGCAATATTATCACAATCCACATCAGGTATGTCAACAACAACGTCCGGTTTGTCTTCAACTACGGTTGGTACGTCATCAACAACGGTTGGAACGTCATCAACAACGATTGGTACGTCATCAACAACTTCTGGTATGTCTTCAACAACGGCTGGTATGTCTTCAACAACGGCTGGTATGTCTTCAACAACGTCTGGTACGTCATCAACAACATCTGGTATGTCTTCAACAACGGCTGGTATGTCTTCAACAACGTCTGGTATATCTCAAACAACGTCTGGTATGTCTTCAACAACATCTGGTATCTCTTCAACAACGGCTGGTATGTCTTCAACAACATCTGGTTCGTCTTCAACAACGTCTGGTACGTCATCAACAACATCTGGTTTGTCTTCAAAAACGTCTCCTATGTCTTCAACAACATCTGGTTTGTCTTCAACAACGTCTGGTATATCTCAAACAACGTCTGGTATGTCTCCAACAACGGCTAGTATGTCTTCAACAACATCTGGTTCGTCTTCAACAACGTCTGGTATGTCTTCAACAACATATGGTTTGTCTTCAACTGCTGCTAGTACGTCTCAAACAACGTCAGGTACGTCATCAACAACGTCAGGTATGTCTTCAACAACATATGGTTTGTCTTCAAAAACGTCTGGTATATCTTCAACAATGGCTGGTGTGTCTTCAACAATGTCGGGATTGTCTTCAACTACGTCAACAATAACATCTTCAGCACAAACATCACCACGTATAGTAGTTCACAGCAATCCAGCAAAAACGTCAGGTTCTCCAGTAACAACCACAAAGACAAATACACCATATTCCTCACCATTGTTTGGTTCATCATCATCCGCACCCAAGTCCAGTACGCAAATGTCTACTCCAATAACCAGTACGTCAGCGTCAACGCCAACGTCAAGTAAGTCGGCGTCTACATTCATGTCCACTGCATCAGCGTCTACACCGATGTCCAGTACAACAGGATCAATACCAATGTCCAGTATAACAGGATCAACAACAATGTCCAGTATAACAGGATCAACACCAATGTCCAGTACTACAGGATCAACACCAATGTCCAGTACTACAGGATCAACACCAATGTCCAGTATAACAGGATCTACACCAATGTCCAGTACAACAGGACCAACACCAATGTCCAGTACTACAGGATCAACACCAATGTCCAGTATAACAGGATCAACACCAATGTCCAGTATGACAGGATCAACACCAATGTCCAATGCAACAGGATCAACTCCAATGTCCAGTACAACAGGATCAACACCAATGTCCAGTATGACAGGATCAACACCAATGTCCAATGCAACAGGATCAACTCCAATGTCCAGTACAACAGGATCAACACCAATGTCCAGTATAACAGGATCAACAACAATGTCCAGTATAACAGGATCTACCCCAATGTCCAGTACTTCAGGATCAACACCAATGTCCAGTACAACAGGATCAACACCAATGTCCAGCACTACAGGATCTACACCAATGTCCAGTACTTCAGGATCAACACCAATGTCCAGCACTACAGGATCTACATCAATGTCCAGTACGACGGGCTCAACACCAATGTCCAGCACTACAGGATCTACACCAATGTCCAGTACTAAAGGATCTACACCAATGTCCAGTACGACGGGCTCAACACCAATGTCCAGTACTACAGGATCTACACCAATGTCCAGTACTACAGGATCAACAACAATGACCAGTACTAAAGGATCTACACCAATGTCCAGTACGACGGGCTCAACACCAATGTCCAGCACTACAGGATCTACACCAATGTCCAGTACTAAAGGATCTACACCAATGTCCAGTACTACAGGATCAACACCAATGTCCAGTACTAAAGGATCTACACCAATGTCCAGTACTACAGGATCTACACTAATGTCCAGTACTACAGGATCAACACCAATGTCCAGTACGACGGGCTCAACACCAATGTCCAGTACGACGGGCTCAACACCAATGACCAGTACTACAGGATCAACACCAATGTCCAGTACTACAGGATTAACACCACAGTCCAGTACTACAGTCTCAACATCAGTGTCCAGTACTACAGGATCAACACCAATGTCCAGTACGACGGGCTCAACACCAATGTCCAGTACGACGGGCTCAACACCAATGTCCAGTACTACAGGATCAACACCAATGTCCAGTACGACGGGTTCAACATCAATGTCCAGTACTAGAGGATCTACACCAATGTCCAGTACGAAGGGCTTAACATCAATGTCCAGTACGACGGGCTCAACACCAATGTCCAGTACGACGGGCTCAACATCAATGTCCAGTACTACAGGATCAACACCAATGTCCAGTACTACAGGATCAACACCAATGTCCAGTACTACAGGATCAACACCAATGTCCAGTACTACAGGATCAACACCAATGTCCAGTACTACAGGATCAACACCAATGTCCAGTACTACAGGATCAACACCAATGTCCAGTACTACAGGATCAACACCAATGTCCAGTACTACAGGATCAACACCAATGTCCAGTACTACAGGATCAACACCAATGTCCAGTACTACAGGATCAACACCAATGTCCAGTACTACAGGATCAACACCA